CTTTGTTTTTCGTCGGGGCAAGAATAAGAAAGAATTGGTGTAATTCTTGCTCTGTAAAGTACATTTTATCATTCCACGCTGGTCTACGACTTACATGTAGTGTCAAAACAGAGTGTCTTGTATCATTCTGCAACACAGTGCGAACACAGTTCTTGATACAACACAGCACGTAGTATGCCCCAAAAAGCAGACTGACCCAAGCTCAGTCCTGTAATCGGAAACAACACTAAGTCTTGCTTTATCCACCAACCCCACGCACGGATCTGAATAGTCCTGACGCGTATCCACGACAGACTAAGAGCAAATCAACTCGTAGATAAACAAAGTGTTTGTTCAGAGCCGTGTCTCAGGTCACGCACAGTTCTGGACACGCGATGGCCTTGTCCCAAACCATGCCCGGGCACGGTCTGGGACACTCGGCGCGTGTCCGAACCGTGCCTGGGGACTGAGCACAGTTCGGGACACGCGGATGCCTTGTCCCAAACCGTGCTTGGGCATGGTTTGGGACACTCGGCGCGTGTCCCAAACCGTGCTTGGGGAAAATCTACATTCTGGGACACGCGGGGGACTATCCAGAACCGTGCCTGACCGCACACAGTTCTGGACACGTATTATTTAACCTTGAGTGCTAGGGGACTGAACATAGTTCTCATTAACATGTGTCCCAAGCGAGTTTTTTCTTGTGTTAATTTGTCTCTAGATCTGTATATTATTATTTAAGTTCGTGTCGACCAAACATAAAACTGCGCTTTGATAGCACATTCTGTACACAGACTCGCAAAATCTCATGTAATCTAGCCATATAAGAAATCGTGGGCGTGAATAATTATGCTTAGGTTCCCGCCAATCACTATGATTGACAGGGCTTCCGGGCACGGTTCTGGACAGTCAGGCCGTGTCCCGTTCTGTGCCTGCTCAGGCACGGAATGGGACGGGCACAGTTTGGGACACAACAGCCAGGGCGCAAATCAGGGTTGGCGGGTCGTGTGCACGTGGCTTTCCCTGGCCGAAAGATTATCGCTCACTCGCGGTAGGGGATGGCACCCAAGCTAGCTCCAGGATAACATCGGCGACCCCGAGCCGAGTGTGCTGATTGATTGGCGAAGATGTAACCGCAAATGGTCAACCCACGCGACCCATTTTCACACACTAACAACAGTAACGGGTGTCCGAGACACGAAATACAAATAATCTTACGCCCCAACACACATATACAATAAAACAAAAAAAACCTGCACCATCTACAGCCCATTAACAGAAGATACACCGAGTCCCGTCTACCCCAACGCGAAATGCATGTCGAGAACGCCTGAGACAGTATACCACGGTATTTGTAAGTTAAGAAGTCGTACTATACGCAGAAAACATCCGAAATTGCGCAAGAGGGCGTTGACCCCTGACCCATTGGCCCACCCGGAAGTTGGCTGGCTGCGACCCGCGCGACCATAATTTTTCACACTCGATACCTGAAACCCCCTCTCACCAGATGTGGACGCAACCTACGACACTTAATACACGCCGAAAACCAAAAGACAGAACCACTTTCACACACAAGGGGTGTCCATACTCTGTCACAACGCATCATTTTCACGCACTAAAACACACATACTAAAAAACCAAAACAACGTGCACCATCTACAGCCCAACAGCAAAACGTATACCAAGTCCCAGACATATCCGTCCACCCAAACGCTAGAAACTGCTGCGAACGCAATTTTCGTCTTCCCTCACAAAACCTCCGCGCTCGGGATATACATCCCTACCCGGAGGTAATAAGCTACCTCGTGATTGCTTCCCTTATGAGTATAACCTTAAACTCTTCAAGTCTAAGGTCAACAAACATCTGTCCTCACTGGCTGTTCTGTAACCCAAAACATGAGCCTTGTTTTGTGGTGACTGATGAAGTAAATTTAAAAAAAAAAGTTTAATGTATTAATATATTTGGTTCTGAGGTTTTAGTAGCCATAGGAGTAGAGGAAAAGTTTGATAGTGTATAGAACAGATGAAATAGAATAAAATAATATTGGATAAAATGAAATAAAACAAGAAGCCATAGGCGACAATTCTCCGTGAAGTATTATATATTGCAACAAAAAGAAGTAGCCATTGGCGACAATTCTCTGTGAAGTGTGATAAATCGAACAAAGAAAAATTGTTTAAACGCGCGTCGGCTCAGTCATCTTAAGACGCAACAACCAATCAGAGATGCGAGATGCCTACACGTGACGCGGGAAGGGCGCGCGATGCCCGAAATATTTTTGCGTCAATATTCAGCGCCGTGATTCAAGAGATTAATACCCGGAAACAATTTTTTTCTTGTTTTGAACGCATTAACATGCATTTACGCTAATCTAGTATGATTCAGGGTTTACTTTTTTTTAACCTGCCATGGCCAGATT